TTAAAGGTACATACGAACCGAGCATCGGTGGAGTGTGGATTCCCAGTAACACATGTAAACCACTTCTACTAGATTCTTATATGACTCAAATAATTTCGACATGCCAAGGGATAAACTGAATAGATCACTCGATCGGCCATAAAAGACCTTTAGACTGCTCCTTTCTTTAAATTTATGGTTGTAAATTTAACCTACTTCCGTGACCTACTTTCCTGCCCCATTGACATACAGCTTAGAATACCAGCAGAAAAATCTGTTCAAACATCACTTTGGGGTAAAATTAAACAATGCCTTTTGGTAATTCTCTTAGTTATACTACTTGTAACTATATGCTGGCATTTGGTTGGTTTTTGTGACAAAAAATTGACTTTGTATGCATCTTTAAACAGAAACCGGAGAATAAATCCGCAATGCCAGTGTAACCTTTGCCTCAGCTTTGCCATGAGAGTGAACTTCATGACACTCATATGTTTACTGAAAGACCTTACTTCAACCTAGTAAAGCATGCCAGAAATATGCTTCTTATTTTCCCTCTCTCATATTTTTTAGCAGTAAGATGACTGTGAAGGGTGTTAACCGCGTGTTGTGCGTTATTGTCGGGTTAACTATGCATACAAGACGCACGTTATCACCGACGCGTCTGTTCTAAAGGTGTGAGTTCCTCCAGGTACTTGAGTTCTGACCTCTGTGGAACCGCAAATATATTGGCAATGCAGTTTTATACCAGTGATATATATTTAGTTTGTGTAGATATTGATAACCCATGGAAATGTTTTGTCCTAATGGAGGGCTTGGGCAGGCGGATGAGTGGATATAGTGTTTATTTTCATTATAACACGATTTGATTTTGCTTGCTTTGATACGTTTAACGTCCGTTAGACGTGTAAATCCAATGTCGACATCACAATTCTGCGTAAGTCTATATATCTCTTGACACAAGTTTTAACCTATACGGCGCAGGTCTACGAGTTGGAGATGTAGTCTTCTTCATATTGTGACATTTTACAAATGGGGTTATCCACCGCAGACACTGTACTCAGTATCAGGTCAAGTCCTTTTTTTTTTTTTTTTTTAATCGGTGATGTTGTCAGAAATTTTATTTATTTTGAACATGCTGCCTCAGTCTGACTGAACATTTGGAGTAAACAGGAAGCGCAATCCATCACGCACACTCGCGTTGACGCCGTCATTTTTTGACATCGAAATTCTGTCACCATGGTAACGAAATTTTCTAGACAGACGCGCACGTACATTATTCAAAGTATATTGACGTGACCTCAGACAGTCCCCGGCGTCCGAGGACAGTTCCTCGGCACCCTGAAGACCGCGGTTCACTGGACGACAAGACAGCGGAGACAACCAACTGCACCCTGGAGAGTGAGGTCATTGTCGTTACTTCAGGGAGACGGTCACAGAGTGGAGCCAGTTCACAAGACAGGCTGCATCCAACAGTGAACCACAGGGTACCTCACCTCGGTCAAGAGTTTCAGTCCTTGCTAGGAATTGTACTTAAACCGCTGATTTTACTGTTACCGACAGAGGCAAGTTTTTACTGTTACCAACAGAGGCAAGTTTTTACTGTTACCGACAGAGGCAAGCTATATATTTATTAAATATTAAAAATATTAAATATTAAATATTAAAAATATTATATATTAAAAAGCTGACGTCAGAACTGTCGGTGTAAACCAGTGGTTTAAGACACAAATCAGACCAGATAACGGAGCCTTCAGTCTGTGTAGTATTCACAGACTCAGGGTGAACTCCTAACTCGACAGACTCAGGGTGAACTCCTAACTCGACAGACTCAGGGTGAACTCCTAACTCTACAGACTCAAGGTGAACTCCTAACTCCACTGCCACAGATTGATAAGGACGTGTCGGGGCAATCACAGCAGCACTTGCTTTGAGGACACAGTCTTTACTGGCTGACAACATATTGGAACCGCCTCTACCCACTCAAGACCAGTTAAGACAAGGGGTATTTTGGACTGCAAGACAGACTAAATCGCGTCGTCAGAAAACAAGGCCAAGGAGACCCCAATAGTCTACAATGTGCCACAGAACCTGTTTGTATTCTCCTGATGGCAGTTATTCGGTCTAAGGTATTAGACTTGGTGCGAACAGGCATTGCCTATAAGGAAGTAATAATACAGCCCATACTTTAATGTTACACGTACCCTGCACTTAACCTGCTTCCAAAATTAACGCTGATAAACAGATATTTACGTCCAAAAACAGCAAGGCCAGAATATAAACCGGATTTGAGGACACGTGTGGAAATGAATTGCCGGACAAGTTAACATTACAAGCAATTCTAAAACGTATCAGATATGACTTACTATTGGGCGAAGTTGGCGATATCAATTATCAATAACTTGCTAAACTGAACAAAAAACAATGATATATGCGACCCTTACTGACCACAACTGAAAAAAAATTATTATCCAAGCTGCAGCCGTCCTTCATTGTATAGCGGGGGAGGACGTTATGATAAATACTTTGTATTATCGATACAGGCGTTTCCAATTAAACGAGACGTTTTTAGATACAGGCGTTTCCAATTAGACATTTTGTTTGTTTTTTTTTTTTTTTGTTTTTTTTTTAGATTTGGGGTGTTTTTAATCTGGGACACACTGTCAAATGAGGAGACTAGAGGGTTCGTGTTGGAATCGTTTGTAGTACAACACGC